GTGAAGTTGAGCCTGGGAAGAAGGGAGGTGTCAGAGGAAGGTGATTTAAGATTTGGTTCTGTTTTTCATTACCCTACTCTGATTGATTGGTAATAAATTAAGTTATTTTCCCCAAGTCGAGTCTCTTTTGCTCGTGACAGTAATTGCTGAGTGGTCTCCCTGTCCTTGTCTTGCCCCATGAACCTTTTGTTATATTTTCTGTCCCCTGTCCAGCTGAGGAGGGGAGCGATAAAGCGGCTTTGGACGGCACCTGGCCTCCAGCCAGGGTCAACCCACCACATCATTTAAATTGAACGTATACATTTTCAAATAAAGGATAAGTTTGCAAAAATGAAGTTTTTTGGCAGCAAGCTGAGAAGAATGCCATATGGCAGGAGATTTTGGGGCTCACAGATGTTTTGCCAGATACGTTTGGTGGGGGGAAGCCTTGTCTTGGGTCAGGAAGTGAAAATGGCTCTTACCTATTCATTAACTTTATATAGCTACTGCACGTGAGATATATTATGAATCACAGGCTTTGTGAAACCCGTCTAGGGTCTAGACTGACAAATCGGAAAAGGTTGAGGGGAGGTGTTTAAATGTGGTGGTTAATGGAGTGACAGAAATCTGTGTATTGTCTGTCTGCTATCCGTGAGTCCAGTTATTCCCTTTGTTTTTCATGGGTTGTAGATGTAGTCGGAATTGTGAGCACCGAAAATTAATTTTTAACAAAAGAAAGTTTTCTGCAGTTGGGTTGAGTCCTGTGCCAACAATAACTCATGGACCTTTGCAGCTGAAGAATCATGAAAGTTAAAAACACAGAGTTTAAGTGAGTTTGAGAGAGGTGAATTGGCTGAACTCTTTAAGTATCGTATTCATTTGAGCTGTGTTTGAAATGAAAATAAAGCAACAATCTGATCAATTTTTAAGGGTGATACAGATGAAGACTGGGATACAAACTTCCCTGCTGTGTACTGTCACAAACTGGCATAATTATCGGGTAGCATCCACACTGGGAAGTAAACAAAAATCAGTCTTTGTGTTAACTTCTGATGGGTTACGAGGATGAGGAGTGTGTGTAGAGGGGAGTATTATGGACACAGAAAGGAAGACCATGTTTGCCAAAAATAATTTTGTACCATCCCAGTGTTGTTCCTTTACTTTCAGGCTGATAAGCGGTCATAGTAAATCAGGGAATGCGTAAACTCCGATATATTATGAAAGTATACTTCTGGCTGGTCCATGATGGCAAGAGTTAAAAGAAGTCTTTTATTCAAAAGACCAAGAAGAAATTATGCTTAGTGAAATTAAATTAAACCATCATTACCGAAGCACTTGCACTGCTGACCCTATCAGTTGTTAGGTTGTTTTCTTCTCTTTGCTTTTCTTTCCTGAACTTTTTCATTAGGCTGCTCTAAATAGTGTTCCACACTATAACATCGATGCTTTTGTATAGTCCTAGGAGCACCGAATACTTCCCCCTGGAAGTTGGCACTGAGTTATTAAGGTCACTTTGGCATGTAGACTGCTTAATTGAACCAGACTAGTTATCCCATTTATTTCCCCAGTGAAACGCTGTTGTAATTGACACAGGATACATTCATCGAGTACAGTAAACCCTTACTTCTGAATAGCAGCATTGTTCACCTTGCAAATAAGTAGCATATTGTAAGATCCTCTTTCCTGTGAGATGCCTAAAATCTGAAAATGTTTAAAATGCAACAAAGAAAACAACCAGCCCAATGACAGACGGGTAAAATTTCTAATTTGCCTGTGTATCTTTGTATCCCTGCAGACCATCAGCAGAGCGTTTATGAATGGCAGCGCACTGGAACACGTTGTGGAGTTTGGCTTGGATTATCCGGAAGGCATGGCTGTAGATTGGCTAGGGAAGAACTTGTATTGGGCTGATACTGGCACAAATCGTATAGAAGTGTCAAAGCTGGATGGGCAGCATCGCCAAGTCCTGGTGTGGAAAGATCTCGACAGTCCCCGGGCATTGGCGTTGGATCCTGCTGAGGGGTAACTTGCTGATTTAATTTTATGTTTATGAGTGGTGAAAAACAACATCGTAATGCTTCCTCTAGGGCATATTAGTTAGGCACTGCATGTAAATCCTGAGAGGACTGAGCTGGGGAATACAACCTGGTAATTTAGAGTATGAGGGCTGGAGGAATACGCTCTTAATGTCCTGAATAATCATTAAGAATACTACAAAAAAAATCAGAGCAGCTCATTAAAAAGGGATTTATATTTAGTTTTTTAATTAACCGCAGAATCAAAGTAGTTTTAGGTTTATGGAATTCATTAATTAGAAAAGGACTATAGCATTGAAAAGAAAATATTTATCCTTTTAAAAATGAGGATCCTTTTTATCACAAGTTAGAGTCCAATAAAAGTATTAAATGATTTAACTTAACAGTGGGGGAGTGAAGCTTGTTGTCTGAGAATAAGGAAGGTGTTTGTTTCTTCAAATAAGGGGGCCTTTTTATGTGGTATGGAGAATGGAAGCGAGGACAGAGAACGAGCAGAAACAATTATACCCATCTATCCCCAAAATGAGAGATTTCCTGAGAAGAAACTTCTCATTTGGATTCAAATGTAATAGCAAAAGTAGGGCAATAAGCAGGGGGAGGGAGGAAGGAGCAGGGCAAGGCAAGGCAAAACTAGTTAGCTTCTGAAACAGCTCTTCTACCATGAAATGCTCATTTGACATTAACTAATTACTGCAAAACCTTTTTGACGTTATACCAACATTGCACTAGTCTTATTTTACAAATGAGGGAACTTCATTTTCAAGCGTTATGAAATTATCGCAGTTTCTAGCCTCGCTGCAAGAGTTACAGCAATGCAGAGAACTCGAAACATGTTCCTCCTGCTTCATTTCAACAAGGTGGTGCCAACTGTCGCAGGGCTTAGTCGAACAGAGTTCTGCGCTGGCCCCGGTGGGACACCTACACGGGGTTCAGCCCTGACATGCCAGGGCTTACCTGAACAAGTACATCAGAGGGCATCCAAGACCGGATTGTTAGATCCAGTTACTCGGTTGTAACAAAAGGTTACTACATATGATTCTAGTTTTACACTAAGAATAATTTTTTTCCAAGGATTATTATAATTCAGTGCTTTGTCTCTTCACCACATACCGGGGAAAAAAAATTAGTTGTGAGTCTGAATGCCTGTTTTCCCTTTTGTCTTATAGCTGAGCTATGTTGTTGTACTTTGTGTGGAAGGTTTTGTGGCATTGCTCCCAGGGGGGCAATTCTAACACTTAGGTCCATACTGTGTACAACTTGCAAAATTTATGCACAGAATAAATGCTGAATTTTTAAGAAAAATTTGCAAGTATTCTTGGTGTCTAAAGAATAGCTCCCCCTTGATCATCGGTTTCTGAAGCAACCTTTCTCACTCCATCGATTGATTGAAACTGAAAGCATTTCACAGGTGCTTGTTACTAGAAGTATTAAAGCAGAAAGAGGTAAACATTGGCTAGCTATGTCTCACTTGTTTTTAAAATGGTATTGGCTTTACATTTTGGAAGAAGTGACTAACCAGCCACCAAATGTCAAACATACAGCCCTCTCTACGGTGCCTAAAGAAAACGTACGAAGTCTGTGCTGCTGCCAAATGAGGCAGAAACTGGCGTGTGAGTACGTAATAGTTTGTACTTTTGCTCCAGTGGAAATGCCGTACAGTTTTGTGTTATTCTGCCCTTGGCTGCAATGTAACACACTGTTACGTGGCTGACTGACTTAGTTGTGCGGAGATGAGCAGTGGCACCGATTAACAGAAGTACCCTGCATACCTCCCTCTTTGTATTCCTTCATTTGATGGACAACTGAATAGAAACAGAAGTGCGTGCCATGGGATGTACCTTGCTAAATAGCCAGGTATAAATGAAGGTGCCCAACTGCCAACCTTTTGCCTCTTAACTGATGTGCGTGGATTAGTTAAGATTGAAGGGCTTTCGTATGGAACTCGCTGCTGAAAATCCAGCTCCAAGTGGAAAAAATAATGTTGGAAGCATTTTAAGGAAACTTGACTCACTTCCTTGCTTGTATTTTGAAAAAAACATTTAGCGTAATGGGACTTAATAAATGCTCGAATTTACAGCTGTTGTTTTTGTCTTATTCTTTCTAAGGATTTTTTGTTTTGTTTCTCCCCTTGAGTTCTTTTTTTGATTAAACATAATTTTTTTTTTTCCTTTTGTCCTTTTAATCAGGTTTATGTACTGGACTGAATGGGGTGGTAAGCCGAAGATTGATAGAGCTGCTATGGATGGCAGTGAGCGGACTACTTTGGTACCGAATGTGGGACGTGCTAACGGCCTAACTATTGATTACGCTAAAAGACGACTGTACTGGACCGACCTCGATACCAACCTTATAGAATCCTCCAACATGCTAGGTGAGCCCCAGAACCCTGGGTAGCGTTGTGGGGATGATGCTGCTTTTTCACAGTTCCCTGTGGCAAATTATTGCTTAAATAATGCAAAGATACACGTCTTAAGACAAAAATAGATTTTTCCAAACTCGCACACCTTTAACATTTGCTTCTATAATTGATGTTTATGCAACACAGCATTTAGCACGGCCTCGGTTTTTTTTGTTGTAGGTGATATAGTTTCTCACAAAGTTAAAATTATACAAGCTGTACACGTTTTCAGTTATATGTAGGACAAAGCTGTCAACTTTCAGTGTTCTGGAGAGTCTTGTTTTGCTGCTTTGAAGAGCACTGGCAAATACATAACAAACACTTCATCATCTGTGGAAAGGTAGAGAGAAAGCCAAGATAACAACAGCTTATTGGACATTGTTCACAATGTAATTTAATACAACTTGGTTTTTAATCTTTGTTGGTACCCTCAGGGTTCATGTGTTTCCTCCACCCTCCCCCATCCCCAGTATCTTGCACGCTAAGGAACTTTTCCTGGCTAGTACTAGTCACCAGGGCGGCACGCTGTCATGCTGGGGTCTGTGTGATGGTTTTATAAACTGGTCATTACAGCTAAATGGAGGTGGAATATTTTATTCTTTCACCGTCCCAGGGTAGTGTACTGAGGACTCGAGCCCTCTCAGATTGCACAGTATCTTTTTTTTTTTAACTTCTCATTATCCACAGGAGTGGGCTGCCTCATTGTGTGCCAAATGACTCAGATTAGCATTATCGCTAGCCAATATTTAAGGCTAAAGGAGTTAGTCTGCTTTAAACAGTACATTTGCAATAGTGGAACAAAACTAGAAAAAGGTCAAAACAGGAAAATGCATTATAGGAGTTATACGTAATATAAAAGCTTTTCTTCAGCTTCTCATGTACTTTGGTGTGCTGTTGAGGCTGGCTCAGCATTCCCCTTGTAGGATGGAAGTGGACACAGCATTAGAATTTCATCTTCCATGTGCCTGTGGCTAGTGATGGTAGAGTGCAGGGCTCTGCATCCTCATCTTCTCAGTGCGAAGTGGGAATGACTTCTTGCTTCATAATCTCCCAGTCATTTTCTGTGACTAGACAGCAGGATGTCCCGTGGTGATGAAGTGGTTGAAATAACGTGGTTGAAATCATTCTGCTCCTCCCCATGCCCTGCTCCTTAAGGTCTCTTAATATTTCCACATTATACACAATTAACTGTTCCTACCTTGAGTTTCTGACTGCTCCAACATTCCAGAGACAGGTTAGTTTAACCTTGTGCATTTAATTTTTCTCGTAATACGATGTAGAATTTTATTAAGCTCGTAACAATTCTCTCTCTGTAAGCAGCAGGCAGAGACCCAAAAGTGATGCAAGAGATGCTGAACTGGGAATACAGTGTCAGGATCCTGCATCTCCTTCAGAGGGCTCCTGTTTGTTTTGAGGAGGAGGAAAGGACAGAATCTGAGAACCCTCAATGTTTTCAAAACAGAGATTTTTTTCTTTAGTAAAATACATTCTCTTCTGTGAATTGAAAGCAGGATTAGCACATTTCTGTGATAGACTCTGACACTTCAGGATGGTCTTTTGCATCTTGTACATTACTTTACAATTTTGTAGTACTGAAATAGTAACTGTAAAGTAATTATATGTTAACCTTTCTGTGCAGGGGACATGTCCAACAGCATTAAACAGCATATTGTTTGTCCCCATATAATTCTGCTTTTTCTCTCCCTTCCTTTTTGGAAACAGGCCTTGACCGTGAGATTATAGCTGATGACTTACCTCACCCGTTCGGCTTGACTCAGTATCAGGATTACATTTACTGGACAGACTGGAGCCGGCGTAGCATTGAACGAGCCAACAAGACCAGTGGTCAGAACCGAACTATCATCCAAGGGCATTTGGATTACGTTATGGACATCTTGGTCTTCCATTCCTCCAGGCAGGCAGGCTGGAACGAGTGTGCCTCTAGCAACGGTCACTGCTCTCACCTCTGCTTAGCGGTCCCGGTCGGTGGTTTTGTCTGTGGCTGCCCAGCTCACTATTCCTTGAACTCTGACAACAGGACTTGTAGCGGTAAGCCATATCGAACGAAAAGAAAACAGAGAAGCAGATGGGTTTAGTAACAGTTGCAAGCACTGTACTTGGAGGAAAGAAGAGTTTTACTTTTACATGAGGTAGTGAAGCTTGTTTGTCGATCGGCCAAGTTAAAGCTAGTTTCTATTTTTAATACTGAACGTGTATTTGAAAAATTTTTGGTTCCTTAGCCTCCTTTCCTCCATAGGAAGCAGGATATATGACTGGATATAGACAGCAATAAAAATAGGTATTTTTAAATATAATTTTCTAATACTAAAATCCTACTGACTTTTACGAGAAGATAGGATATTGAAAGCAAAAAAAAAAAAAAGTCTTGCAAAATACCCGTATTCCCGTAAAATAAGAAGAGCGGCTGTTAGTGAACCTTTTCAGTGACTCAGCTAAATCTGTGTAAACAGGAGAGCTCAAAATTTGGTATCTGTCTGTCAAACCCTCCTCAAGTGCTTGCTTGCTTGTTTATTTATCTGCTTATTTATTTCTAATCCTGCCTGACATGAAGGGTATGTGATAGCTCGGTCTGTATTCTGGACTTTGTGTAGCCTTTAGGTATTCAAGATTTAATTCTATAGTAGCTGTGTTTACTAGCGGATGAGATGCTGAGATGGGGCACTCTTGTACCCCTAAAAGTGTTTTTTCCTCAGTGAGGAGAGGCTCGGCTCCACGGCCTCCCCACCACTTCAGATTTCTGACCTCAGTGCAGCCAAGCTCTGGTTTTCTTTATTGTTGTGCAGAACATGAACTGCAAGGCCCCTCAGGCTGTGCGTAATTAGTTTCTAACCAAATAATTTATCCATCTCTCAATAACTGGCTGCCAGTGAAGCTCTCATAATTTTGGCAGCCACACTGGATGGCTGATTTCCACTGGTGTCATTCAGATTAGTCAGTGGGTGAAGAGATTCGTGGTACAGAGAGACAGATTGTATCTTGTCCACATTACGCATGAGTAGAGAGATCCAACTGTTCTTTTAAAACCAAAAGCAGGGCAACTTGTTGCACGAATGCCACCTCATGGCATTTTTTGAAAATCATGCTCTTCGGAAAACTCTCCTTTTCCACCCCTCCGTATATCCTGTACTCCTCCTTTCCTTTTTTATTACAAGGGACGCTTGCATGACAACTGGATTCTTGTACTCTTTAACACTCTCGCACCTTCCTGCGAGTTGGAGGCACGACTGGCACCTCTCTGGTGATGACTGTGATTTTGTAGGCGGAAGAATTTGACTTCCAGTGGAGAATAAGTAGCAAAATGATCAAAGCTCATGTTTTCTTGTGAAAATGCTCTTGGAAACAACGGAAGGAGAAAAATACAGGAAATACGGTGTGGGCAAATAGAGCCGTTTCCCCGCAGGACAGTTCGGGGCTGTTCGTGAGGTATTAGGAGCTTTCCTTCTGCCACGTTCAAACCTGGGAACTTTCCAGCTTCTCATTTGTAGGTAATTGGAGACTTAGGCTTCTCTGCATATAATTTAATTCTTTTTCTTGGCCACTATAATTGGAGCATGAATCGTTTTAACTTTCTCTTGCCCGTTTTACTTGCTTATGTACTCCTGAACATGATTATTAGCCCAAACCCCGTCTAGGGGCCAGATCCTCCCTTCTGGATTACCCTGCTTATGCGTGCGTAGATTCTTTTCATTATGGAAAGGACACACAGCACTGATGAGATGTAGTATCTCATCAGCCCTACCACGTGTCATGAAATTGGAAGGCAGTGTTACACAGGAGACGTGCTCATTGCACTCCTTTCGCTTGCCAAAAATACAGTTAAAATATGTGACTGTTGGGAGGGAGGATGCTGAAAACTGGGAAGGGATTTCTGAAATTGGTACTGTTTCAGAGATGTGGGGACTCAAGGGGGGAAATTCTGCTGTTGCTTTTTATAACGAGCTACCAATTCAAGGTTGTAAGCTAGGCAATCTTAGGTGTCTTTGGGGAAAAATGGAAAGAATTTTAGCTGCTTATGATGGTATGTTTACCTGCACTGTTTATCTTAAGCTTTTTCCCCTTTCCATTACTCTCTTCACTGCTTGGAAAGAACTCTGATGTTTTCTGAATCTTATTATTTTGCTGTACACATTCACGTAAACTTGGCTTTGCTTTTTTTGTGTGTGTGTGCTTTCTTCTGCAGTTTAAAGTTAAGTAGAAGGTGGCTTAAATTATTGGAGAAACACTTGGAGGGGAAATACAGGTTTTCCAGAAAGCCAAAATACCTTGCAATTAGGCCTGATTGTTATAGGATGTTAGGATCGAGTGTTAGTTACCAAGGAAACTCCCCTGCGCCTTTTTTTTTTTTTTCCCAGCAGCCAGAATAAATGTTCAAAGCCTACGCCTAAAATAACAAAGCAAAGTGATGATGTTCTCTGGAAGACTTTTGCTACCTCCCCTTTCCAAGGTGCTGCCTTACCTGTTTTACAGGCTGGATTGAATGAGTGCAGTGTCCCACTGCTCATCTCTCCAGACTTGTGCTAGAGAGAATTGATTGTACAAACTTCAGGGAGGCTGGAAACTGCATTTCTGGCTGTTGGCTCTTGTGCCGTCTTGCCCAGCGGTGGCTCCAGGTAGACCGTTATTGAAAAGAACGCTGTGAAAAGGGAAAATGCTTTAACTACCTCCTCTGATTTCTGACCCAGTTATGTAATACAGGGATAAGTTCCTTTTAACGATGTATTAAATGTGTTGTGCACTTACTGTAAGATACAGCTGGTAAACTACAGCTATATGGGATGGGGAAATCTTATTTTCTGATGTTTGATGGTATTTCTAAGGAAAAAAAAAAAAATCATTTGTCCAGGAAATTTTTGCTGGGCATCTGGAAAGCTGGAGCAAAGCATCAGATTTTTTTTTTTTGATTGCAAGTTAGCATTCCCAGATGAGCACCTAGAAATAAGAAAGATATATAAATTTGAGAAGAGTGAATAGATTTTTTTTTTTTTTTTTAATCCAGAAACACAGCCTTGCACACATCTAAGAGATTTTCCTGTGAATTAGTTGTTCCGCTCCGGTGCAGGCAGAAAGAGGGTTTGCGGGAACAGGACTGAACCTTTCTTAACAGCAATCTCTCTTCTTTGGGACCTCTAAATAAGGAACTTGGTGCTGGCTTTTGCTTGACTTCCTCCGCAAGTAGAAGCATACCTAGCAAAAGGTTCAACTTCAAAATAGTGGAGCTGCATTTCCCTGGGACCCCTTTAGAAAGAAAATTCACGGTTCTTTGAGAGGCATGGTTGACCGTTCTCCTTGGAAGTGATTTTGACAGAAGTCTTCACATTTGTTAGTCCTACAACTTACAAAATTGTCTCTGTAAACGTTGAGACACTGATAGTAAAAAGAGGGCATTTGAAAGGCTTTCCAAACTGATCAGAGTTTGAGATTTTTATATTTTGTTTTGGTTTTGTGGGTAGGGGGGGCAGCGAAAGGAATCAGGAGAAGGGAATGAAATAATCACAGAATCATAGAATAGGTACTGTCTGGTTATATATAGTAGTTGTTGTTATTGAACATACAAATACCCAATGTTATTGCTATGTGTAACCCTTTCACCTTCCTTTTTTTTTTTTGTAACCCATCAAGCTCCTACGACCTTTCTGTTGTTCAGTCAGAAGAATGCAATTAATCGCATGGTGATAGATGAGCAGCAGAGTCCAGATATCATACTCCCTATCCATAGTCTGAGGAACGTTCGAGCCATCGATTATGACCCCCTGGATAAGCAGCTGTACTGGATTGATTCTCGGCAGAACATCATCCGGAAGGCACAGGAGGATGGCAGCCAGGTATCCTGTGGGTGATGGAATTATTAAAAGATGAGGAAGGCATGCCCTACACCCAGCAATTAAAGATTGTACATGAATAATTTAGATACACAGACTTCCTGTAGATCTCTAGCTGTCACTTGGCAAAACAAGTGGCATCTGGAGTTTCTGGAGTCCTCAGCCCGTAATCTGGGAGGTGCAGCGAGAAATAAAACACGGAAAACTAAGGCCAGCTTAAAGATACTGTTGTTCACAGTGCATTATTTGCTTAATGCTGTCTTTTGGCTGGGGGCTGTTGGAAACCCCTGTTTGAGAGAAGTGAAACATGGGAAGGGGAAGTTCTTGGGAGAAAGGGAGTGTGTGGGAGAGAAGGAAGGGTTGCAAATGAGCAGGGTGCAGGGGCATTGACTCTGAAATGAAGAGAGTGGGACTTGATGAGCACATGGCTGTGTCCAAGGCCTCCCAGGTTCTGGTGAGGGTAGGAAGAGAACTGGTGTCAGCCGCCGAGGCACCGAGCGAGGAGGTTGAAACTAGTGACCTGTAAGAGATATAGCAGGCTTGGGAAATGTATTTGACTGGGGAATACAGAAAAAGTAGAGTAGGGTAGAAGGCGAAAGGTGATACGGGTTTAGTGAGGTTAATTGTGAGCAGTGACTGCTTGTTCATTTTCACATTTTAAAATAGATTTTTTTTTTCTTCTTGATTTTTTTGAATGAGGGAGGAGCGGGATACTCAGATGAACACACAGAGGTGCTGTATTCAGTTTAATTTGTAAGAAAGTGTGGTTTCTGGTGGTAGGTGTGGTGGTAGTTGGATCCTACTGAACGCTTTTCAGCCTTAACTCTTAATTTAGCAGTGGTTTTAATTCTGGAATATCTAAATAATTTAACACTCAAAACTATTCAAAGGCACCAGGTTTTTGCCAGCTTCAGCAGAATAAACGAATGTAAGACTTGTAGGCACACCCTTTCATAGAGGTGATAAGCCAAATAAAGTTAGGCAGATTTTCCAGTGAAGTTTAATTCGGAGGTGAGAGGGTGGAGGCTGCTCACCTCAAAAGCATGAAGTTTTCCAGAAAGGTTATGTAAGGCTGTGTTTTGTGAGTTACCAATCCTCTTCAGATTTTTTTTTTTGAAAAGTTCATGAAACATGTCTGTTAGGTTCACCTTTCACTATAGGGAGACTCTGCAGTTTCTTTCTAAAAAAATAATAAATTAAAAAAAAGAAAGGCATATGAACTCCAGAGGTCTGGACCAGTAGAAGGCAAGAACTTTGAAGCAGAAAGGTGTCAGCTGGCAATGCTCTGAAGTCACTGGCGTACGCTAGCTGATGTCCTTTCTGTGCGTCGGCAAAGTTGCCTTCCCGTTTGTTATTCATCCTGATGTTGTGTGCCCCAAGTGTGATGGCAGTGATACTGGAGAAGAATGAGGGCAGAATTTCAAGTGCTGGCTGACCTCACTTTGCCTGTGTTTTTATCCGTTCAGCTGCAGCTTTGGGAATTAGTGGTGATGCGTTTCTGTTGTAGAGTGCTAAATGTGCTGAGCTGTGGTCTCTCCAAACTGAACTTAAGAGTTGTCAAGAAAGCAGAAGAAACGTGGAAGCTGACCCTGAATCTTCAACATAGAGACAATTTGGACTTACTGGTCAAACTTGCTAAGTCTTATGAGCTGCAACCATCTTGCATGATTGCCATTACAACAAACCAGCAGGACTAAGTGTCTATATCTGATCAAAGGTGTCGGTGGGGCAACTGAACCTGGGTGTTTCCTTACTTTATGATAGTATTTTGGTCGCCTTCTTTTCCTGAGCAGTAGTTTGATGTGCTGCATCCATAGCAAATAAAATTGCTTGCGTTAGATCAGATTAAATGTTCTTCTGTGGGTTGTTTTTCTTTCCTTTGTAGAGCCTCACCGTTGTGACAAGTCCAGTTCCCAATCAGAACCTAGATATGCAGCCTTATGACCTGAGCATTGACATCTACAGCCGCTATATCTACTGGACCTGCGAAGCTACTAATGTGATCAACGTGACACGTCTGGATGGGAGAGCCATGGGAGTAGTGCTCAAAGGAGATCAAGACAGGCCCAGGGCCATTGTGGTGAATCCTGAGAAAGGGTATGTAGTTGAAATAGTGATGTGGGGAAATTCAGGCTGAAAGTCTTGAGAATCAAATTGTTTTCTTGCTGCAGGTTGGTTTCTGTTTGTCAGAATCAAAACATCTGTGACATTTGTTAAGATGTCTTGGTCATATAGCAAAACTATGGAAAGATCAAATAAACTTTTTTTCCTCTAATCATTCCTATTCCAGATACATGTATTTCACCAACCTACAGGAAAGGTCTCCTAAAATTGAGAGAGCAGCATTGGATGGAACTGAACGAGAGGTCCTTTTTTTCAGTGGTTTGAGCAAGCCCATAGCCTTAGCTATTGACAGCCAGCTAGGCAAGTTGTTCTGGGCTGATTCAGACCTGCGGAGAATTGAAAGCAGTGACCTTTCAGGTAGAGTAGCACTTTAATTCAGTGATTCATTTGTGTGGTGTGGGTGTGGGGGAACGCAGAGAAAAGTGTCGTCTTTTCCTTCCTACTATAAACAGTCTGTACTGTGATTCTAATTGCTCCCTAAATTCCCAGCCGGGGAATGTGCATGATTCATGCAGCGTGCCTTTACAGTCTCATGTCTCTATCTGTGATTTGCATTATTAATTGCTACACATGCTATTTACTTCAGTTTCTCACTGCAAGACCTTCGAGTGGTTTCCCAAAGTCAGTTCACAAATAAATTGCAGCAGTTTTGGAAAGGGGAGGGAGAGGGTTGTTTTTAAAGGCATTGGTTTTGGTGCAGTAATCTGTCAATCAGAGGAAAGTTTCCCATTAGTGGAAAAATCTTTCCAGCAGAGTTAAAGCAGCAGGTGTGCAGGTCACTTCTGTACCTGTCATTTAGGGTGAAATGATGTGAGAAGGATAGAGCAGATCTAACATCTCTCTGTTCTCAAAAGGCAGAAAAACTCCCTCTTCCAGCTCTGGAGTTCTTTTTGTCTGCTCCCTAAGGTTGGTTATGCTGCTTGTCTGACCTCCTCTGGGAGTTGATTCGGCTCACTTAACCACATAAGTAAAACAATAACCTAACAACAATATCCAGAAAAATAGAGAACGGTGTTCTGTTGGTTTGGAAAGCTGAATTGGTTCAGGAAGGAGTGCAGCAAGCAGCCAGAACTGGAGCAAGAGGGAAAATCATGCAGTCAGATTGGGTGAGGGAAGAGACTGAGATGTTTCTTACCAACTAGCCAGATCCAGCAAGTTGTTGGATCAGCTGCGCTGTCTCATGTGGCTTCAGTAGCAATTTGTGGTGATACAAATTGGGCTGGATGTTGCTGCTGGGAATGACAGGATGTTCTGAGCACTTAGGTACCCATCTCTGTTAGGTGATGGGGTATGTGCCCTCCTCGCGCTGCTGCTAGTGGAAGGCAGTGGCAGAATTTCTCCGTCCTCTGCAGTAAGTCCATCCCCAGTTTGAATAGTGCATGTCCTTGTACTTCACCTGAGTGTTTTCTACTATCAGAAGTATAAGTACACGTGTAAGGAAATAAGGACACACTTTGCAGTCCGTGAGCAAGTTTGGAAACTTTACAAACTACCGTACTCAATTGTTATAATATCTTTCACCAATGATAAGATACCTTCGTTCAAAGTAGCAGCATTTAATCCGGTTGACACGCTGTGATTTTCAGCCTTTTATTAAGTTGCTAGAATAAGCTTTTGTTTTGGAAAACATTTCAGGTTTTCTAGATGATTGGAATTGAGGCTCAGCAAGATAGTAATTTTTTTTCAGTGATTCATGTGGTGTGTCCCTGGAGGATTCAGAGTCACTAATGAGCTGTGATATCCTGATTGTTTACTATTTTAAAACACAGAAGGTAACCTGTGAAAATTTTTTTATTTTTTTTTATTTTATTTTAAGAATAAGTGGTACGGTGCATCTCAGTATGTTCTAGACTATCCCAGATCCAGGGTCTGCACGAGTAAAGTAATGGGCGGCAGAACATTGCACGTGCTTTGTTTCTCTCTTCGTCTGTTATCTGCCAGAAATTAGGACACCAGAGAAGGAGATGGGTCTAAATTCTAATTCAGTCTGGTTTTAATGATTCTGCTTTTTTTTTTTCTTTCCTTAAAGATGTGGCTGTTGGATCACCAACGTTCTGTAGTAAAAACTTGCCATATTTTCGAAGAACATGAAGAAAAATCATTCCCAAACCTCTTTTGCTTTTTGGCATTTGCACTGCAAATAGATTGCTATAATCACCACAATAAATTGCTAACTGCTGAGATGCATTCCTGTGCTTAGGAATGTTGATTAATAGGCTCTTTTGACCGGCAGAGTAACTTTTCTGCATGTTAGCTTCCTAAAAACATGCACAGTCTCTGGCTCTGTCGATGCCAGTACCCGTAAAGAGAAGGAGAGCTAGAATGCCTTTTAAGTGATGCAGTCCTCCTCTTCCTCCCTGTCCTTCAGGCATGCAGTTAGGACTTGGTTATGCTGCCCAAATGGGAGATCCTATTGAAGCTAACCAGATTCTGCACATGATCAAGGGGTTGTTTATGAAAAGACGACTGGAATTAACTCCCTAGAATGGAAACTATTTGGAAATTAGTTCTTCTATTTGAGAATAATTAGTGTGATTTGGAAATGTCTAATGATTCTGGAATTAAGTTGTTTTTATTAGGAAATAGAATGAGCTATGGGTGTGTCCTGAGTTTTGTATGTATTTGTTTTTAAGTCTTTTTGTAAAAGGTATTGCTGGAAAAAGAATGGTTATGTCAGGAGACAAAGCTCCTCTTAATCACATTTCCCTTTCATCTGACATTCCTAATAAAGGGAACTAGCACCCTGATGAGCCAGCTTTGGATTTTATTGTTGGCTTTACGGAAGGGGGGATTTCAGTGTCTCGGTTTAGTCAGAAATAGTCGGTTACACTTGGTCACAAATATTAAAAAGAAAGATTAAGACATTAAGGGAGTGAAAATTTTAAGCTTCAGAGCTTTAGGAGCATACTGCAAAATGCCATGCTGATTGACACGGGCATGGCAGAGCAGGGCATGTACAGACTTTGGATAGGTCAAGGTCTTAGTTTTAATTGTGTTCCTTCCTGTCATCTTTGCGTTTTCCCCTATTGCCAGCTTAGCTTTTCTTCTCCTTGAGATGCAGGTTGCTGTTTCTTACCTTTTCCCTGTATAATGAGTCATGTTCATGGGGGTTAATAGACAGTTGCAGTTATTTAGTTCGATTTACATGACTCAGTCTATTAATTTCTACATCAGTCTGGGTGTTGCCTCCTTCAGAATCCATCAAAGTTTTTTCTTAATCAGATCATTGCTGGTGGTGTTCCAAAGTGGTGGGTGAGAGCCCGGTCTAGCTGAGGGATTAATATTTGAATTTCTGTGTTCTGCTTTAGATGTTACCACTTGTTAAATGTTTGGAAGCTTACTTAACTTCTGAGCTCTGTATGCATTTAGTGAAAAGGAGATAAATACACTCTTCGTAGCTGAATCTGTTTGTAAGTCATCATCGCTGACATACTGTTGATTAAATTCTCAACAAGCCAAAAAACATTCTTGCTACTAAACAAAGCAGAGAGATAGAACTTACTCAAATTATAAAAACAGGAAACATATGTGTCTTTTGTCCCATAACATTGTTTTGTGTGGGTATGGTAGAGACATGGTGGTGTTTTTCTGTAGTATTCAGTTGTACTAGTGTATTTTTACAGGATGAAATATAAAAACTTATTGGAAATTGTGTTGTGGATGAACATATGCAAAGCTATTGTCTGCTGTAGTAAAAGTGAAAAATAAGCCTAGCAGTGAGCCCAGATATCTGAAATACCAGGATTTATATGTAAGTTTTCAAGCTGTGACCTAAGTTTAGACGGTGTGATATTGTTTCAGCATTTCAAAACTGAAGCAGATTCTTTATGTTTGTGAGTAATTTTAGACTCAAAATCTGATAAACCTCACTGAATACTTGAGTGTTAATGACCATGTCGTATCATGTAAAATAAATGAAGCATGGATTAAACCTCACTCCGGAGCTCTCAGGTTTTGAATAACATCTTTTCCTTCTGTGTATGAGTTACAAAGTCTCCACTGTCTTTGGACAGTCTTTAATGATACCTTTAAAATAGCTGTGGACCGTCTTGTGTAGAGTGTTAAGCATGAAATGTGACAGTCGCCCTTGACTATATTTGACGCCAGGTAATCTAGCATAAAAGTCAACAAATACTCTTCAGAGGTGTAAGGCTTCTTGGCTGCTGCCAATGATTGCTAAAGGAACTGAGGAAAGCAAGTCTTCACTAGGAAGAAAGGAGCCTTCCCAGTTTAGCATGAAAACTTTAGTGAAGATAACGTAGTTGAAACGAAAGAATACGAGGAAGTCAGAAGTCAAGTGTTTGCCTTAATCTCATAATTCACGTGAGAAGTACTAACTACCTTGTCTTCACTTGGATTTTGTCTTGTATTAGTTAACTCAAGCTACAAATCCATCTTCTTATTCCCTGTTGTATGCAAAGACAAAGCAGTTAATCTCTCCAAAAAAAGGACAGAAGAATGAAAAGAATCACCAATTCCCATCATATCGATAAAAGACTGGATAGGCTCATGAGAGCCCAGCCCCCAACTCCAGATGCTTCTTAAATGTATTCGAAGCACAAAAGCTGCTGTCTTGATGAAAGCAGAAAAAAAATTTGATCATCTGTCTGCAAAATGCATCAGTCTTGCATCAGACAGCCCAGGATTGCTTGTGGTTTTGTAGTAGGCTTATCCAGTAGTGTAAATGTAGTAGAAAATAGTGGTGTGAGTAGTGTAGAAAATGTTTGTGATAGTATTTCAGTTCATTCTAGTTGAACTAAACCACTCGTTCCCTTCTGCAGGTGCTAACCGGATCGTGTTGGAAGACTCTAATATCTTGCAGCCTGTGGGACTCACGGTATTTGAAAACTGGCTCTATTGGATTGACAGGCAACAGCAGATGATTGAAAAGATTGATATGACTGGTCGAGAAGGACGTACAAAGGTCCAAGCTCGTATTGCACAACTCAGTGACATCCATGCTGTGAAAGAGCTCAACATTCAGGAATACAGTGAGTGCAATCCCTGTTTGCAAGTGCAAACAGTGCCTGTGGGGCTCGAGCCAAGGAGTGGCCGCAGAGGGATGAGCCTGTTTGGCCTTGTCACTGATCAACATCAGTGCAGATTGAAGGGGCCAGGAGTTGGTATCGGTTTGTGTCTGTACATTGCCAGGGTGCAATTAAGTTTGTTTCCTTCAGGCGCTTGGCAATGGACTGCAAATCTATCACAAACCCAGCATCACGTTTTGTTGCTGCTGCTGACTTTATTGGTAGTCCCATACAGGCACCTGGCATTTGAGTGTCTGCAGGCACAGCAGAACCATCCTGTTGTCCCTCGTACAGGATTGTCTGGGTCACGCTAGCGAGTGGTTATTAGGTGTTTACTCCATTTAGACAAGCACAGATCCTTTTACTAGCAATAAATGTTTCGATGGACCGCCTGCCTTGAAGGCAAAGTGAACAATTTTTGTTGGTGGCAATTCATATCGGAATTAAATGACAGAAGAGCAACGTTACATTGCACAAAGGAAGCGTGTATTGAATAACAATTTGTGTTGAACATGGCTGCACTTTTAAAAGTTTTCTGTTTAGTAGGATATAGCCTTTCCCCACACACGTGCTTGAAACGATGGGAGCTGGATGGTTAAAGCAGTGGAGCTGCTGTCATCTTGGAGGAAATAGGCCTGGTTAATAGGCTGTGGAGCATGCCTTGGAGAAATATGTAGAAAAACGTCTGGGGATGTTTAATTAAAGCATCAGTGCAGAGTACTACTAGTTTTGTTTGCTATTAATCTCAGTAAATCTGTCAGGAGTTCCAAGAGAAGTACGTTGTCCTTATTAAACATTAAAATGAAGAGACATATTTATCTAGAGCATGTTAATTTGAGTTTCGGAGACAGTGTGGAAGCTTCAGAATTCATAAATTAGAAAAGTTTACTTTTTTAACCATCTTTAATAGAGAAAATGAAGTATGGAATCCAAGACATCTTTTTGTATTACTAATGCTACTATTTTTGCTGCAGACAACTAATTCTACCTCACACAAGAAGCAAAGCACTTGGAGTGCTGTTTTAGTCCCCATAGCACAATTCTTACAGTGTTTGAGATCACGAGCAGTTACCGATGTGCGTGCTAATTATTGATGTATAAAGGGAGAAAACACGCACAACAAAACACAGCTTTTTCAGAGTTGTTTTTAGTAGTGCTCTCTCCAGGGGAAAGGAAGTAATGAAGGGAGTCCTGTGAGCCCAAAGAAATCACTGAAAGGTCGGAAAAAGAGGTGGGGATTTCTTGTCAGTACCTGTCTTTCTCATTTTCAAAATCACAGGACAGCATCCTTGTTCTCAAGATAATGGTGGCTGCTCGCACATTTGCATCGTGAAGGGCGATGGCACCACGCGCTGCTCTTGCCCGGTTCACCTTGTTCTGCTGCAGGACGAGCTGTCCTGCGGAGGTAAGTCCTGCCCATGATCTGTGTCACTGAGCGCTCAGCTTCTCGAGTGAGGGGGGGGTCCTCCATCTTTAAGGGTGGCTTCTGAGCAGAAAGGATGTGACAGTGTGCCAGGTGCTGTTATATATGCTGTTACAGCATAGCTTTTACGCACTTACCTCTTTGTGTCATCTGTTGCCCCCCGCCCCCAGCTAAATCTGCAAATATTGAGAATGAGTAAGAGAAGAGGAAAAATTCACTAGTTGACTATTGAATAAGGATCTCTGTTCATCCTTTCTACTTAAGACCACTGCATTATTTCAACTTGATTTCTTCATTATATGATTTTTATTACTTTTTTCTATCCCTCTGTATGTTCTCCTTTTTCAAAGAGTGGTCCTTTCTCCTGTTCTGGCATATCACACCATGTCTGTGCCATTTTATTCCTCTCTGCTGTCCTCCTCAAACTCGCCCTGTGTGTTGCTTTTCTGCACCACAGTCCCAGAAGGGCGAGTTGCCTCTTCCATGGCGATACGGCCACTGTAGCCTACGCCCTGGTGCCTCCAGGGGTGGGCTTGAAATGGGGGGGAGGAGAGGCACTTTGGTGCTCGGCTCTCTTTGTGCCACTGTACGGAATGGATTTATTATGCAATCTTCTCGCCATCAAGGCGACGTGTGGTCTTACAATGGAACAAGTGCTAACATAATCCAGATATTTTCTCAGAGCAAGTTTAATACCAGGCCAAAAGGCAAGGGAGGAAAGGGGGATTAAAAAAAGGGGAGGGGGGAAATCCGCACTTGTTTACTGCATGAGATTAACAGTTACTGTAGTAAGTGTTAAATAACAGCTAACAGCTGTGTTGAGATGACGGGACTTGACTACATGGAGCGTTTTTTTGTCATTTTAGAAGAATTTTGACTGAACAGAGCTGTCGAGGGCACATAACTAGACATTGAGTCACAGTGCATCCATCTGCAGCGCATTACATCCTTTTAACGTTTTCTAGACAATGGCTGTCGAACATTAAAAAGAAAGTGAGCAATTGGTCGTGTATACAGTGGTATTGCAGAAAAAGGGGGGTAGAAAATGTGTTGACTTTAAATGAAGACTTTTGAAGACCTGGGAGAAGGGTGTAAGAGGCTGAAGCGGGAAAGGAAGAAAATAGTTGTGTTTTGAGTGTGCGTGTTTCTCTGTTCCTCTTGCTCTTTGTCAAATGAGTCTGTGTCGGTCATGTGGGGTTCAAGATCTGCACAAATGACTGCAGAGACAGTGGGGGTAAAAGTTACCTTAGGACGTGGCACGTTTATCGGCTGCTTGATAAATCAAAGCAGCCGAGATCTTCTTGTCCTTACCTGTCCTGATCTGCTGTTTGTTCACCTGGATTTTTAATTTTTGTTTGTTTGCTTGATTTTTAAAGAACCACCAACATGCTCCCCTCAGCAGTTCACCTGTTTCACAGGTGAGATTGACTGCATCCCGGTGGCCTGGCGTTGTGATGGTTTCACCGAATGTGAAGACCACAGTGACGAAAAGAACTGCCCGGTGTGCTCAGACACCCAATTCCAATGTGAAAGTGGACAGTGCATAGACAGTGCCCTCCGGTGCAATGGAGAAGCAAATTGCCAGGACAACTCGGATGAGAAGAACTGTGAAGGTACAGAGGATCTTTCAGAGTGTGATGAAAATAAAGCTGTCCTGGGGACTCTGTGATACCAAAGTTATTGCTGAGTAGAATTTGGAAGGATCCGAGCTTCTGCTAGTTTTTAAATTGTTGTATTGAATGGGAAATTATTTCACTACTTTCGTTTCTCCACTTGTGGGATAGAAATAACACTGATCTGCACAGTGATTTAAGCTCTGTTTGGGGAAAGTACTATTAAAAAGATGATATGTTTTTAAACGCTAAAAACCTAGTAACTGGGCGTGAATTACAAAGTGAATTTTTGTGTGCCTTGTACCGGGTAAAGGTCTTGGGATTGTTTATTTTGTAACACCCGAACAAAATGAAGTTAAGCTTTTGTGAGTAAGTGGGAGTGAGAGACAGGCAAGATTTCTGGAGACCTCTTCTTCCTATAGAGCACAGCAAAAGAGAGTATTTAAGCCATCATTACAGAGGGAAGTGCTGTTGCCAACAGAATGTGAATTAGGTTCTTTTAATTTTGGAAAGGACAGGTTATGCTGGTGGAATCTGAACTACCCCACCATGATACAACGTGAAATATGAGCAAACTCGCCCTTTCCCCACTGTGCAAGCAGTGAAGAGTTGTAGGGACAACTTGTGAGCTTGAAAGGATGCCTCTTCTCTATATCCTTTCAGTACATTTTCCTTCTTTGAAGAGACTGTCTAAGGGTCTTTGAATCAAGGCTGAATTTCTTTCCAAAAGATGTGCTCCAGCTCAAACAAAAACATACAGACTGATGCAGAAATTCCTGTGCAATGAAAGGTGATTGTTAGCCAGATGAGATGCTGACATCTGAAAATGTATTGTGCAAGTTAGCTTCCCGGTTGCCATCCAGCAGCTGGAGATATCAGACTTGGGGCTGTTTATCACCTTCAAAGTGGCCCTGTTATTCAGAGTATTCAAGTTGATTACAGATCAGAAAAGCCTTTAGATTAACTTCTTAATTCAACTGAAGTCAGAAAGAATTTTTGGATTTATGAGAAACAGGAGGCAAAAATATGTGTAAACAACAGCAGCCAGCACCTTGCCTGCAGCACCTTTTTTCCCAAAGTGGTAGTTTATTTTTTGAGTGTGCTGGCAAAACTCCAGTTTTATCTTCTGTCTTTCATTTCAGTTTAAAAACATAATGTCAAGTGAAATATCTTGTCTCATGATCAAGGAGTTTTCTGGTTTACAGGAAGAACACAAGGGCATTGAGAAACCGCATTTATCTTTCTTAAACAATTTTATCATCATGGTTTGGCAGATTTATTTTTAATAACTTCATTCTTCTCTCTTATATTACAGTAAATGCTTAGAATTGGAGATTGTTATAGTAATTTTGCAATAACCATATCCTGGGATAAGTACCTGTGTTCTCAGTGGCCTTCTGCTTCTGAGCTATTTTAGTCAAAGTAAGTTTATCCTGTAGTGTCCTTATCGTAAATAGGCAGTAAGGACCGGGTACCCACTGTGCAATATCCTCAACAGAACACTGAATCACTTTTTCTGCGTGCTTGGCACGTGGGACGTTGTGCGCCCCTGGCCACTTTAAAAAATGAAGCTAGCAGCAGGCTAAGCACTCCCAAGATACTCCTGATTGTATGCTTTGGCATCTTGTTTTCTTAATCGTTTTAAAGAGTAGAAGTCTTTGATACTAACTCTTGGTATGCGTGGGGTTCTCTTTCCAGTGCTTTGCTTAACCGATCAGTTCCGCTGTGCCAGTGGGCAGTGCATCGGGAAAAGCAAGAAATGTGATCACAACCTGGACTGCAGTGACAGCTCAGATGAGCAAGGATGCTGTAAGTGTAAAACCTGAAACTGGAGACTTGATTGCAGCATCTGATATTTGTTTCTTACCTTCTCTGAGTTAGATTTTATGCTACCAACCAGACTGAATTAATTGTTCCCAAAATGAACGTTCCTGTTCATAACTGCTGTTGTGCAATTAATGCACAAGGTGGTGGAATAGGAATAACAAAAATAACTGTATTCTGAACAAGTAGTCTCTGAGGCAGAGCAGGCTAGTGACTTTTCCACTTACCTTTTTCAACTTAAAAGAAATAAAAGGTTCGTTTTACTATAATCTGTTAGTATGCTGAGTTGGTGCAGTGCTAAAAAAAAATAAAATCTTTCTAGCAGCATGAGGCTTTTATATATAGCTGCTCTGCTTCATGGTTTTCTCATCCAGAGAAGGAATAGCAGGTGCTTTTAAAATCACAGGAGCACTCTGTTTATAGAGTAAACCTTCTAAGATTTCCTTTGTATCTTGAAAAGATGTAATTCTGAGCTTGATTTATGATTTGTAACATGTGATATCCCCTACCTTGAAATCTCCAGGGCTCTGCAAGAAAACCACTGCCTTTAAAATTCTAACTTGAAAGTTCATTTTCACTGTTAGTGCTTTAAAAGAAATTGTAAATAGGGACATCTCTTCTTGTGTTAGAGATCTGTATATCATGGTTGACACACACATAACTTGAAATTGCAAAGCCAGAGTTGGGCCCTTGATCTTAAGAAAGAGTAATAGGAGATGTTCTGTCATGCCACCAAGTTATTAGTGACATTATCACAGACATGCATAGTTATCTTTATTATAGTTCATATATTTTCTGGTTTTGTAACAGAGGATGGAAAAGTAGCCCACCCAGAGTAAGACTGCAGTTGTCGCTGTCCCTCTTCCAGTATGATCAGAAGTCTGTTTACTTATCTCTGTAGACTGTGACAAGCTGGTTACAGTGTGAGTTTGGTGTTCAGGGAGAAGAAAATGTGTTGAGGAAAAGACTTTCAGTAATGGATAAGATGTAAAACACTGACTAGAACAGGAAAGTACTTTAAAGTCTGCTTTTCTTGTCAAATTCATGAAGCACAGGCAGGGGGTTGTCAGTTATTCCCAGAAATGTCATTGCTTAGAATTGGTATTGTGGGGAGAAAGCCACTCATTTTGACTGTTGAATAATCTTTTCGGATACAGATTCCTCATAAGGATGGCATCTTTAAAGCTGATGCTCAGCTATATCTGTAACCATCAGTGTGGGTCAGATGTGGAGTAGGTTAGGTGGTTTAATAAACCCAAAGTTCATCATTGGTGCATCACCACTACTGTTAAGCATAAGCGAACGTTACACAGTTGGGAAAAGGAAGTGCCAGTCTGTTACACTGAGTGATAACCTAGGTGCTTACGTGATGAGGTGCAACATGAAAAGTAGTTGTCTTTAATAACCAGAAAAAGCCTAACTGGAGTCCCCAGCCCAGTGCCATCTGGAGTCATGGCTGCAGGTCTTGTTCATCAAGTGCAAAGGATAGCTCTGCCTGTCAGCATGAAGCAAGATCAGGACCTGATTCATCAACCCCCCTGCACATGCATGTACTCTTTGTTTCTGATTCAAAAAACTTTGCATGTGTGGAGGTCATCTTGTGCACAGGTAACCCTTATGGACACTCAGAGGCTTTAAACAGACCTGTCCCAGTGCCTGTTTGTTCCTCCCACATATTAATTTGAAAGCTGTTGTCTGCCTGCGGAAGAGAAGGCTTTGATTTTTCCTGTGTGGAAAAATGTCAGGAAAACTGATGTTGGTACATGAAGCTGTTGGATTAACTTACGCAGTCCGATTTTCCTTTTTCCTTTTAGACACAACGGAGGAGCCTGCGCCACAGCCTAACAACACAATAGGCTCCATCATCGGTGTGATCCTTACAGTTTTTGTGGTTGGAGCAATGTACTTCATCTGCCAGAGAGTGCTGTGCCCACGCATGAAGGGAGATGGGGAAACAATGACCAATGATTACGTGGTGCACGGACCAGCCTCTGTACCTCTTGGTTATGTGCCTCACCCAAGCTCTTTGTCAGGTTCTCTTCCTGGTGAGTAAAATGGTGTGATCCTTGGCCTGCCCTTTGGCACCCCATAGTTGTAGCTGAGGGTACTGTGCATGTATGCACAGGAGATGTCCATTCCAGATGCGTAATTCTTGGAAGCTGTTGGCAGCCAGGACTGTCAAGGCTATTTACTTCTTGTAAGGTCTGTAATGACCAGCAATAACTGTGGTCTCAGCTTACTTTGATGAGGAAGTTTCCAACACCAATCCAAGCACATGATGCTACTGCTGTTTAAAAAGTAAGACTTAAGCGCGATGTTGTGCTTCGTTTGTATGCATTGCTTCTGTATATATTGATTAAATCTGTACCGTAACTTGTGGCTTTGGATCCAGCAGGTTCCAGTCAGAACACAGAGGTTCTGCGAGGCTGTTAGAGGGTTAAAATAATGCACCAAATTCCTTGGCTTTCTGTAATAACCTGCTTTCTGAGAGTCTTTGAGCAGAATTTTCACCATTATTTCGAGCACAGTGGCATACCTCTCCGTTTCCCGCTTGGACTCTCTGCTGGCGTGCTTCAGTCCAGTAGCAAAAGCTCACTTAACGGTGTGGAAATGAAAGAACACAAACCCTCTCTTCTCTCGCACAAATTTCAGTTGCTCAGTTGAGGTGGTCAGAGTCAGCTTCATGTTTTATTCTGAGGCATAGAAATAGTGCCTGAATGCCTGTTCTCTCAAGTCTTTTCCAGCCATTCAAGTGAAAGAAATGTATTTCTCTTCGCACAGCTCTAGTATAGCCCAGTGCCAAGTCTTGCAGTTGAGTAGCTGATGCGCAAACCCAACCTGTTTATTCCCTAACAGTCTTCATCCCAGTTGTCCATCAAGGAGCGCTGCATTTGCTCTTAATACCGAGAAGATTCATTTTGGTTTTAGGAGTTGTGCTTATACTGCTGTTATCCTCGATTATTTTTTCAAGCTTTTCTGTTTGCTTCAAGGAATTGAATATTGACATACGTCTTTGTTCTTCAGGGATGTCTCGAGGTAAATCTGTGATCAGCTCCCTCAGCATTATGGGAGGGAGCAGTGGGCCACCCTATGACAGGGCCCATGTCACTGGAGCCTCTTCCAGTAGTTCTTCAAGTACCAAAGGCACTTACTTTCCTCCCGTAAGTCATTCTATTATTCATAGACCTTTAATAACTTTCAGAAAAGTGCCAGTGTCTTTCTGAGGGTAATAAATTGACAGATAAATGTTTTCTTTTATATTTTTAGCCTAATAAACTTGTTTGAATATGGAGTAAGTGATTTTTGGAAGGGAAGGGAAGGGAGAGGAGATTGTCTTTTTCCAAAACAGTATAGGAATTTTCTGTTAATTTTAAAAAGTTCCAAGAGAGCTCAGTGCCAGAAAAAGATGTTAGAATGAATGTCAGGGGAGATTAAAAAATCCCCATAAATGTTGAGCAGCTCTGGCAGAGTGATCTCCTTTCATTAAACGCTGCCATGTGCCTCTGGAGGCACAACTATAGTTGATTCTGTATAGACCTTTCAAGGAATTAAGATGAAGTTTTGTGTCATGTGTCTTGCAAGCGACACATAAATAAATAAACAAGTGTCTTGCAACTCCGTAGCGTTCCTCTAGTCACAAATGGGTAGTGTGCTGTGCTGGATGCTATATAAAACTTGGTACCAGCCCTAGAGGGCTCCCTGTCTCTTTACTTCTAGCATCAGTTCTAGATATTTTTATATGAAGTCCACCAAGCCGCTATCGAGTGTTAGTTACGTGCTCGGTCAGTGCAGGCTGAAATCTTCAACTGTCTGTTTTCAGTTCCGAAAATCAACCCATCAGGTTGTATCTTTAAATTTGTCAAAATATGGTTTGTGCAGGAAGAGCATGCCTGTATAGGGAAGAAATGCTTGCCTTGGACAGCACGCTGCAAGCATAATACTTGGGGACTCCAGCCAGCAGGAGCAGACATCTGCCAGTTTGCCTAGGGCGGTGGTATCCCTAGTGACAATCTAGTATTGAACAGCTAGCTCCAACTTTACTTTTCAGCACTGGGTATGTCACAGTAGCAACAGCAGTCAGCGTTTTTTGGGAAGAGCTTAGTAATAACTTCTGTGGGAATGGTAACAAGCAGCATTTCCAATGGCTGTTAAAGAACTGGGGAATAAACAGAAGAAAAATTCTGTTTGTTGGGAGGGGCCACGCATGCAGTTCTTAGCTTAAAGTTCCTATTAAACAGTACTAAAAAGAAAATTTATAAACTGATGTTTTCTTGAGTCTCCTTCATATCTTTTTTTTAAACTGGCTTTTTTCTTCCCCCCCCGCCCTAGATTTTGAACCCACCACCATCACCAGCTACTGAACGTTCACATTATACCATGGAATTCGGTTATTCTTCAAACAGCCCATCCACTCATAGATCCTACAGGTAATTACTATTACAATAGCTTCCGTCAGAATCAAAGCAGTTAGTGGAGAAAATGCAGAATAAAGACAGTCTCTGCTCCGTCAGAATTGCAATCAAAGGCCCTAATTCTGCAGTCACTAAAACAGACGTTTAAATGGGTTCACACGTACCGTGTCGCTGAAGCACACGTGTAAGTGCAGCACTGTTTGAGGTAAATGCTACAGTAAGTGGGTTAGTGGTACGCCTCTTGGGTATATTGCTTTAGGGGGAATGACAACACTCATCACAAAATTAGCTAAATGCCAAAAGAAACCTGGTGTCGTGATAACTTTGAGTCAAAAATACTTGCCCTGGAGTGAACTCCACCTTTTTTTAGGTTTCTGTCGTAAATAATTTGGTAGGTAATTATCAGAAATGATAGGCGAACACCATGCGGAGGAAAGCTGGCAATATAAAGGCTAGTAGGTCAGAAGTGATGTTAATATTATGGCCTAGATAAAGCACAGAAATTCTAGTTTGACATATTAAGGGTTAATATCCGAAAAAGGTTGCTAACGTTTTGCTGCTCTTCTCTGACTAATGTTTATGGGCATGCAAGCTTTATCTCTGTTTACTTGAATGTATCTTTCTTACCTTCCCTGTCAGATGCTAGAGTTCATTATCATTTTATAACTAGTTACCAAAAATAGAGACAGACACCTACTACCCAAGGGTGTAAAGGTTCCCCTCCCAAATCACTAGCAGATCTGGTCAATGAGAAGAGCGCGCTGTATTTGTCTATTGAAAGAAATGCCTCCCTAACACAGAGCCTTTGGGGGCTTTTGGATAATGAGGTCTCTGGGGCTGAAAAGACATCTCTCTCCATTAGCAGAAAATATAGCCTCTCTTGTGCAGAAGGTCAGACCAGATGTTTATAATGATCCCTTGCAGCCATATGAAAAATCTTTTTAAATGATGAGTAATTTTCTAATGAAAGAAACCCAAATTTTGGCACCGGCATGAATCATGCTGATCGCTGGTTAGCTGATGGGACTTTTAGTATTATAATTGGTATTAGGGATGTAGCACAGGGCTGAATGTTTTCCAAATGCTCCCCCACCCAAAACTAAACCCTGACTTTGCTGCTTCTGATCTTCCCGTCTTTCCTAACTACCTGCTACCAAACACCTCCCTTTCTGATTTGTTTTCTTTAAACTATCTTGAGCTCATTTTAAAAGAGGTTTTGTAGTAGCAGCCTTTGGGAATTCCATCCCAGTTACTGCTTTGGCAAGTGATTCTCCCGACTGCTATGAATGTGCCGGGCGATTTTCAGTCTCCCTGGAGTTAATATCCATAAATTGCATAATTGAAACAGAATATCTTCTCCATATAATTGCAACACAGCTATTTTCCCTCTGCCCCGTGCCCTTTCTGCCCCACTATCTTAGGAGCAACTTTTTCTACCTCAAGTAAGTCCTTAGGGAGCCTGGTGTCCGTAGATAATTATTAATTAGCATCCGTTTCGCTAGTTGCTATAATTTGACTGACGCTGTAGTGCAGAGGTGAGCCTTCTGCAGGGGAGCAGGCGAGTTTGCCGTGTGAGGGAGAGAAGAGCGTGATGCTGTGTATCTACTGCAGAGAGGTTGACCCGCTCCCCGTTTCCACCTTGGCTTATCTACCCCTCGCTTGTTGGCGGGCGCATCATCCGAAACGCACAGTCTTTCTATATGCCGACGCTTTTCCCATAAATCTCCCCTCTGCAGCTACAGGCCTTACAGCTACCGGCATTTTGCACCTCCCACGACGCCCTGCAGCACAGATGTCTGTGACAGTGACTATGCCCCGAGCCGAAGGGTCACGGCAGCGACGGCCAAGGGCTATACCAGTGACTTGAACTATGATTCAGAGCCCGTCCCCCCACCACCCACTCCACGCAGCCAGTACCTGTCAGCAGAGGAGAACTACGAAAGCTGCCCGCCTTCCCCGTATACAGAGCGGAGCTACTCCCACCATCTCTACCCGCCACCGCCGTCCCCCTGCACGGACTCCTCATGAGGGGTAGCCCCCCCACCCCGTTATCTGCCTCCGCCCTGAAAGTGTAAATACAAAATGTTCTACTGGGGAGGGGGGAGGGAGCTCTCGGCGAAGGATGAGGTAGGACAGTGTACAGTTAAATGTTATTAAATGGGGTGGAGGAATAGTGAAGATATTTGTACAGAAGAAAAAAAAAAAAGGATATTTATATATTTTCTTAAACAGCAACTGCTGCTTGTGCCATAAGAAGAAAAATTTTTGTATAAAAGAACCCAGACATTTGTACAAAAAGTTTTTATTTTTGCAAATGGAACACAAAAACATGCCTTAATCCAGTGAAGTGACTGAGCACATAAGGAAACGGAAGGACCAGGATGTGTTATTTGTCCAGCGAGGTGAGATGTGGGGTTTGTCAATACCAAAAATGTTTAAAGTAATTAATAATAAAGAAGTCTGTCTCAGAGCAGCATACCATAGATACTTGGAAGTAGCCAAATAACCTCTATGTTAACTACGGAGGGCCAGCAACTAAAGTTAAACTTGAAAACGCAGTCAGGACAGATACTAACCTAACACAAAGGGCTTTGTTTTCTACAGGAATACAGCAATCCAGAAAAAAAAAATCACACACTTTTTTAAATGAATACACCTCTCTCTTTCCTTAATGCGTTTACCAAACTAGAGCGTTTAGAGCGCTCTCCTTGCTTCTAGAATTTCAGTGATTTTTGTTGGGTGTATTTTAAAGTTTGCTTTTTTTCTCATGTTTAGCTTTTCCCATCTCTTCATCCTTTCTTCCTGCCCGTGTCACTTGAAATCATTATATCCTTATTTAAAGTACTGCTAGAACTGGGATGCTGAAAATTCTTTATTTTTTTTTCTCCTAATTAGCCCTGTCATGCAGTGAGTATCATGCTAAATACATTACCTTCTTCATTTTGCCAACACGGTAGGATTCTGTTTTGTACCAGGTCAGTACGATTTTCACGTAATTGACAAGGGTAATATGCATATACCTGAATGATTTTTTTTTTTATTATTATTATTTTTTTTGTCCCCCTTAAAAAAGAAAACCTTATTTTGACCTAGTGCCCACAAAATGTCAAATATTTTTGTACCACATATAATATAGACAGCATATTTATAAACTATAAATTTAACCGTGGATTGTTAGTTTTACTGTAAATGAATAATATATCCTTGCAGTACTTTCAGTGTATATTGATATCACAGTATACGAGTCATATATATAAATATATATATTATTTTTTCCTAGTAAGGGAGCATTTAACTTTCAGTGGAGCAACTGTCCGTAAAAAAAATAGATGTTTTGATCATTGGAGGGGGTTCCCGTGCTGTATTAACTGCTCATGATTTCTCTGTGTTAGGTAAAGCCAGTTTTTCTCAGTATGATTTTGACATACCTCCTCTTTTGCGTGATGTGAGTTTAATACTTTAGTATTAACCGCTGTGAATGTCAAATTTTAAGATATTCTTAACCAAACCATTTTATAGTCGCATCTCTATTTTTGTATATTATCATATTTAGCCCCTTCTCCCGTCAGCCTCACCATGTGATTTTGACAGGGAGAGTATATAATCAAGTGAAAATATTATTTGTATAGGTTGAGGGGCAACCTAGGATATTGTTAACTCCTCTTTGACTCCAGTGCAGTGTTTTGAATTCGCTTTGACTGTAGTGGAGCTCACAGTATACCTGATCTTAGATGGCATTATGCATTTGCACCTTCTGTTGACATCAAATCCATTGAAGTTGCTTGATGCCTTCAAAGACTGGCCCTCTGAGTCTTCTCTCTCAAAACAAAGGTACTGAGGAGCTTCTGCCTCCTAGCCTTCGGGCACGGGATGGGTGTAACAACTCTTCAGGGGTGCCATTTGGGTTTTATTGTTCTCTGTTGCTTGTTTCCCAGCCAGTTCCAACTAAAAGAGAAATAATCTGAAAATGTGGCATGGGCTTTAATTCATGCCGTTGACAGAATTAGTGACAAATAATTCTTGCTAGTGCTGCCACTCATCTGGAGGACTGGAGCCTCACTTGGTTTCAGCTCCAAGGAAAACCCTGGCATTGGGATTCCAGCTGTAATAAAGGGTCTTTCTAGTTGCCCAGACTACCTGAGGAAACTTTAAAAAGCCTTGGTGGTCACCAGGCTATCACAGTTGATCTCTGGATCTGGCATACTAAGTGGTTTTTTTGCCCAGCTTTATTCTAGGTATCTAGGAGTCGTGGTAGCTGTTCTTCTGGCTCTTCCTTGCTGGTGAAGAATCTTGTTGGTGTTCTCCAGCAGGATGGATGTTGAGGAGGGTATTGTGAACTCTAAGGGAACTCGAAACCATTTATATGAAGGGGGGGAGGGCGGGCGGTGTCGAGGCTGGCACACCGATGAGAATTAGAAACTTCTCTGTTGTTTACATTTTTTCACGTGCAGCATTCCGTGTGGGGTTCACATGTGGAAACTTGCACTAATGAACTCAGAAGAATATTGCGTTGTTGTATCTCAGTCCAAGTGCTTGTACTGCGATGGCAATGGTCGCTTCTTGCAAAATACTTCTTTCAGTGTGCCAATTTCTGTTTGAAAAACTCTTTAAGGTGGTTGAGCTTAAGAAGTGGTATCCTCTTTCTGGGGTGGTTGGACTGCCCCATTGAGGCTTCCTCTTGGAGGGGCCTTCCTGCAGGTAAGGTCGTAAGTGTGTTAATTACAGCCAGGGTTCTTTAGAAGAAAAACGTTCTCTGCCTACGGGTCGTGCTGCCTGCCTTCTGTGCTAGTTTATGTCCGCGCAGAACTCAACTGAAGTCAATGGGGTGGACGTATAATTCAGCGTAGGATTTGATCAAGTCTTTTTGATACATACGTTTCAGTTTGTGCATCGGGTGTTTTGAGTGATCTGCCTCTAGGAGGTTCACGTGAACCGGGGGAAAGTGGACAGACCATGTTTTTCCACTGAAGATGACCAGCATAGAGAGCAAGCTGTTTCTCGTCTGGACTAACCAAAGAATTCATTTAGTGGGAAGCTGTGATCTGCCTTTACAAGTACATGTATTTTTCCAGTAAATCTAGAGTAAAATTTTGAAAGAGTTGGTGATCTGTGAACTTCCTCTTGGGCAGATCTGCGAATTACAAAAGCAGTGATACAACTAGTGTGCACACCTGACACATTCCCAGCAGGTAAACCATAGACTGATTGAACGTGGAGACTGACCGATTTCTCTCTGTTCCTCTCCGCCACTGAGCCAGTCGTGATTCATATTCTCTCCTTCCCTCAGTGAGGATCATGCTTTCTCCTGCTTCTCAAATTGACTGAGATGTTCGAGCTGTAGGTAACACCCACATGTCAATTCAGGAGATGGCTAAAGTGGGTTTGTCGCATTAGCATGGAAGTGGTTTCATTGATGTCAATGAAATTGCTCCTTGTCTTTTAAGCTAAGCGCGAATGTCCTTGTTTTACGGCATCAGGTACATAAGCAGTGAGGCTTTAACACAAGGTATTTGTTGTGCATTTTTTTTCTGCTGTGTAGATACTGGGGGAGTGTTCGTCGCTGCCTGTCCGGCGATGGAAATAGCTGGCATGCTCAATCAGGAAAAGTGCAGTCCTTTGTCGTTTGAAAAAAACCAACCAACCAACCAAAAACCCAAACCAGAACAAAAAGGACATTACAGCATAATTTGTTGAAAACTAACCTTTGCATGTTCAACAGGGGCTTAGCATGTTTAAATGGCAACATTAATGAGACCTAATCTTGCCTTTTAAAATTATACCTGCCATGTCATACTGCATGCATTTCATACTTTCCTAAGGAGCACTCCTCTCTTCTCCACCACTTTTGGATATCAAGATATTTATTTGAAAGGAACTTAAATACGATAAATGGAACATGCACGAGGCATTTGCATTTGAGATTAAGAATGGTTTCCATGAATATAAATTCATGCAACCTGTGCATATACGTTAAAGGAAATATTTACAGTAGTGCAAAATATGCAAATGAGCCCATTGATATCAAAGGATTCATTTTGCTGTGACTTGTAACCTTCCGTATTGGAAATTCCAGATTGCTGCCATAACATTTCCCCCCTACACGCATGTCCAAGTATATGTATGCAGGTACATGTATCTTTGATAATGTGAATTTACGCACAGCTAATGATTTTCTCTGTCGTGCCTACACGTTCACACGCCCCCGTTGGCAGATTCAGCCTCCGTGCCTTTCAGAGTGCCAGTGCTGGATGCTGTCCTGCTGTCGCACGTAAGCTGGACTTCTTTTGGCCAGGTTGTAGGGCAGACAACAGAATACTTGCTACTTTAAACCTGAATAGTTAGTGCTGTGTCATACCAGGCGGGAGAGGAAGCGCGTTTTTTATATTGTTCCCCTACTTTTGGAGTCCATTTTGCAGATGAGTAAAACTCCTCTGTTTTCTGTAGGTACGTAAAAGTCAATCTGTTGTAGTCCTAGTGTAACTATGAAGAAAACTGCACCCAAACTGCTTGACTCAGCAGGTGCTACAATCCGCTGCAAGTGAAGGTGCATGCAGAAAATCCCTGTTGATTGCACTAATGGGCTTTGGTGGTGGTCTGGTCTCCAGTTGAGCATCGCTTCTGTATTTATTATAGCCCATTCTCTAGAAATGGCTTGATTGGTGAGTCTTAAACACAGATTCATTTGTTTTAGTTTAAAGCAGTTAAGCCTGTGCTAAGATGAAGTAAAGGCCACTGTCTTGAATATTGAGTATTTCCGTTCCTTATTGCTTGGCAAATCTTGAATTAATCAATTACCGCCATTCTGGGGGGAACTGCTTGAACTATGAAACTCCTCACTCACACATGCTGTTGAATCGAATGGCTTCTTGAAAATATCTCTTAAGAAGTAATCAGTCACCTTTTTTCCTGACATTTTTGTCTTGAGCGTGTTTGTCGCACAATACTGTTATGGACAGAATCTGCTTTTGAACGCATACTGTGCAGGTAGCAGATTACTTATTATTTCTACAGCAAAAAAAATAGCTGGTTCATTCGGTGCAAAAATAATTTGAACGTTGTTATTCAGAAATTGCTTTCTTAGCCATGAGATCTTTTTAGTTGCATTTTGGTGGGGTTATTGCTTGAAAGTTAACCTTTAACTTAATGGACGGGTGACAGATACACCTTGCAAGTGAGTTAGGAATGACCTAGTAGCTTGAAAATGGCTGCAAAACATTCCATTTCTTTCTAAAAGAAGTCAAGTGAAATACAGTAGTGATCCAAAATGGGCAATTTTTTTTCCTTTCCAACTTCAAGAAGGGCAGCTCAGTGGATGATGCCAGTGTAGCGTTTACAGGGACGGGGTGATCCACTCCAAAACTGTGCAGGGCAGGGTAAGTAGACTGTCCATATTCGATCCGAGCCAGGGATTGTCTTGGTAGCAGGCAGCATGATTGTTATGATGAAACTCTTGGAGAGCAGCCTTGTTCCCCTCTTTTAAATGAACAAGGAGCGGCTTTGAAGTCCTGATTAAAATGGCTGTAGCCTTAAGCCAGGCAGTTAAGAGTCAGCCAGGGAAAATGAAAGTGTCTTTTTGTAAAGAGGATACCACCAGGCTTAAGCTGAACTAGCCTTGTTTGCAAGTGAAGGATCTGGTGCTGCTTTCAGATTTTTAATCTTGTTTTTGGTTTTTGTT